GGAATCGAATCGAATCAAAGCAACGCTTCCTTTTTGATCATCCAAACAAGCGCAGTGCATGCCTGGCGGTTGCCCGACTTCCCGGGTCAATGGCCAAGATATTCCGCAGCAGATTCAAGAACCTCTCATGACCATGATGGTGCACAATTCCTTCCAGTGGGCGAGAGTTGAGTACATACGAGGCACTTTCCGCCCGAAGGACTTTTTGCATTCGATGTCGGCCGCGGGCATCAAATGCCTCGTCCACCAGGGGCCGGCAAAAGTGGCTGGCTCGTTCGAGCATCCTACCCGGGAATGGACCAATGATGCGTTCCATCAATGCCAAATGCTCAATGTTATCGTGTGTTGCGAACAGGAGTTCGCCTTGGTACAACTCTGCCAGGATACAACCGACGGACCATAGATCCGATGGCATGCTCCATCCACAACTGAGTATCACTTCCGGTGCACGATATTGGCGTGTATTGACGACGGAGGACTTTTTCTCGTCGTCGTATGTGGCACCTCCAAAATCGATAATCTTGATGGCTGTGGATTCAGGCCATTTCTGATGATCCCCTCTCGAAAATTCTCTGCGATTGGCGAGTAGAATATTCTCTGGTTTCACTACATGTGTGTGTGGCGATGGAAAACGTTGGGCAATCCATAGTTTTCATTTGTTGGTGAGGGCGGATGAGTCCATTTCCTCAAGATAGATAGTATAGCCAAAAAAGAAAAAGCCCTTCAAAAACTTACAATCCGTGTGAATCAACCGAAAAGAATGAAGAAAATCAACCGCTTCCAGTAGCTGAAGCGCATAATCTCGAACCTGTTGAAATGGGAAGGGTTTGTAGTTGTTGCGTTTGAGGACATCAAAGAGGGACGGGCCCAGACTCTCTGAAACGAGGCAGTAATGACCGCAAAAGTTAAAGGCGTCGAACATGACCGCAAAATGGGTCACTCCGCGACCTCCTCGGCGATTGACATTTGCCACAATCCTCGCTTCAATGACGGCCGAGTCGTAGTATCGTTTGATTTTGCGGACCATTTTGATGGCGACCACATTGTTGTTATTATTTCTTCGACGCAAGTCGACACATTCGACCACTCTGCCAAAAGTGCCAATCCCCAGCTCTCGTTCGACTCTGAAATGGTCGGCAATAATAGTTCCGCGTCCACCCATAAAGTGTCCCACAGAGTCATCGTGTTGTGCCATGGAGGAAGACACGACACTCTCCACCTTTGGTGGATGCTCTTTATTGGCTTGTTTATTATTGATATGGTGCTTTTTATTAATAATTGCAGAGGGATTTCTTTGTCGATGGTGGTGATGAGAATGAGCAGCAGGTGTTGCAGAGTTTCTTCCATGTTTATTGTTGTTGCTGTGCTGGCGCGTGTCATCATCGTCGCTCACGACTCCTCGATGTCTGGATGGTGATCTGGATGACGAAGACGATGAAGGACTCGAGCTTCGCCGTCTTCGTTTGTGTCTTCTGCTGTGACGGCGACTGCTCTTTTCATGAGAGGAGTCTCGCTTTCGTCTATCACGACCACGACGGCGACGACTTCTTCTTCGTTTGCCTTTGTCGTCGTCGTCGTCAAGTCTCCTGCCTTCTTCACTGGACAAGGATTTGGACGAGCTCAACAAAGACTGGGAAGATGGACTCCTCCGCCTCCGTTTTCTCCGTCGACTGTCATGACGACTGCTCTCATTCCGTTCTGGATCATCCCGTCTTTGCTTGGGATGATGATTGTTTGAAGTAGTAGCGGAAGTAGTAGCATTGTGGTTGGATCTGGCTTGCCTGTCGTCTAACGGCTGCTGCTGCTTTCGACGTTGCTGCTGCTGCTGAGTCCTATCTTCTCTGTTACTAGTACGAAAAGGACCGTTCACTGGATTCCGCTGCTGGTGCCCCTGACCATTCCTATCGTATCGCCCGTGTTGCATAAGAGGACCTCTGCTTCAGACAAAATTTATGGAAGGAAGCTACATGTACAACCATGTACAGCAGCAAATAAGGAGTAATGATCGATGAATGGTTGGCTGCTATCGAACAATTATTTTCCCCACCTCCCTCATAAGATCTGTAAGTTGGAGCATTTATTTGATGAAGCTCCCACGCCAAGCTCGCGGCAATCATAATCACGATCCACGGTGACGTGGCATAGTCCCAAAATTTCATGTAGCGGTACCAGGTACTATTAGTACGTGTAGATGATGTACATGTATTAGTAAAAACTTACTAGAAATGGTCGGTACAACCGGTAACCGGTACATAACTGGAAGAATGTCCTGTTTAAATAAAACCGATCAAGCCTTTTTCGACCGTACGGTACCCCAACACGAACAGTGAAGATTTTCCGAATGAGTACCATAAGCACCGCACACCGCACCCTCCACAAAAGCAACACGGTCATTGTAATAGCACCATGACAACAGACTACTACTATGATGAGAGCTATTTGCAATGGCCATCAATGGCACCGACATTATTAGCAGAGGACGTGAGTAGTCTCTCCGAAGCACAAGACAAGGCCCTGTCGATCGTTCCGCTGTGTTCCGGAATAATGAGTGCCTGGGGCTCGGGCAGCATCATCTACATGGTTTGCAAGGCCGAGAAATGGAACAGTTACAAGCGCATCATGCTCGGACTGAGTGTATTTGACTGTATCTCCAGTCTCGCCATTGGGCTGCAACCTTTCTTTCTGCCGGCGGATTCCTCACAAAGAGTATGGGCCGTGGGGACGGATGCTACCTGCACCCTGGGTGGTTTCTTTCAGCAATTGTCTCTGGCCAACATTTGGTACAATGGATTTCTCAGCTTCTTTTTCCTCTTTACCATTCGCTATCAAATGAGTGAAGAGCGAATGTCCAAACGGTATGAACCAGTGTTTCACATTATAGCCATTGGGCATCCCCTCGTCACAGCCATTATGGGAGCTGCCATTGGAGCCTACGGGGAGCTCAAATTGGGACATAATTGCTGGCTGACAAACTATCCGGATGGATGTGTCAGTTGTCAGGGATCCGAAGAAAAAGAGGATCCCAATGCACAATGTTGCTTGACGCCCGTCTTGGCATATGTCTATGCTGCCATTCCCACCTTTTTTGTCCTATTGGCCGTTATCATCAACAACCTGCTCATTTACTGTCACATGCGAAAAATTGTCCACCAAACCATCATGAGTGCCAATGCCACAGATGCCGTGCCATCTACCAACTCGGCCATTAGTAATTATGGAAACTTGTCTGCCGAAGACTCAGGCCCTGCAGTCCTTGCAACAGTGCCCGAAGAGGGGGAATTCCAAGAGGATGACAACAAGGTGGAAGAAACTCCAGCCATTGGTGAAAATGGGGAGAGCCAAAATGATGTCAACAAGGATACTGCTATAGATGCAGTTGACAAAGAAACTACAATAGCTAGTGATTCTAATCCAGAAGACCTTCCTTTCTGCCGGCAGAATCCAAATGCAAACAACCCGCCAGCTGCTACTACTACTATGAATGGTAGTAGCATTGCCCAGAAGCAACAACCAACAATAGAACCAAATGATCTGTCCACAGAGCCACAGCCACCTGTGGTAGAACCCTCCTCTTCTTCTCATCCACCTGATGCCGACATTATTAGCAATGTCAAGCAGATTCAGGAACAACAACGGCGAGAAGAGTTGCGCAATACACAATTGCAGAAAATACATGATGCTAGACAAACCAAGCGACTGAGAGAAGTGGCCGTTCAAGCATTTCTCTATGTGGCGGGATTCCTACTGACACAGCTTCCCGTCATGCTCTTGGGAATCATGGCTTCTAGCAGAGAATATACGGCAGCAGACGATGCCGATCTGTTTCCCATGCTCTTGCTTCGGGCCATTCTGTGGCCTCTCCAAGGATTGTTTAACTACTGTGTATGGATTCGACCATCCTATCTGAGAGAAACCTAGCTAGACAGAAACAACAATACACACGTACAGAAGTACTGTACGCAGCCGACAAGGGGGCAAGGTTTTGAGTGGAACACAATGCGATAGCTAGCTAGAAGCCAAGCTGTTCCATTGGAGCTTTGTACAACCAGAGGCGACAAATTGTCTCAATCCATCAAAGCAAAAGCTGTCCATGATTCATGACCCAGTTTCATAACGTTGTGTTTACCTTTCTGGATGGCCTGCTGGTCGGTGCAGCACACTTTCGCGATTGCAGGAAGCAGAAGTACCGTCGAGCGACGAACAAATCATTCCGGCATCTTCATGCAGCGACTTTGCAGAGTTAGAGCTCCTGACGATTCAACTCTTGAAAGCAGAGTCATCGACTGCGCCATCGCACAGAGTCGAGTCCACTCATGTACAATAATGTCATTGCTAGTTTCGCACGGAGTGGAGTTCTGCATCTGGGTGCAATCGCCAACGAAAGGGCGGGAGAAGACATGGTGTTGGAAAAGGACATGTTTTGGGCTCGACACTGCGTTTCGAGGCACTGACATTTTACAGTGACTGGAATGCAAAGTTTAAGTTTGAATGAATCAACGAAGGAAACACACTCATTTCTTTCTCGAAACGACAGCTCGGGTGGGAACCACTCGAAAGCCATTCAGGGCAGAGAACGGTTCAACTTCAGAAGGGACTCCTTCCGTGGCAACACGAGCAGTTCAAGGTTGATCGTGCAGGTTTTCGTGCCGGCAATCAGCAATGGTCTGATGACCTGGATTTTGCATCCCACGATTCTACCTCGAATCATTGCAACCCTACGGGTATCTGAAATGACCGGGCCGCGAAACAGGTCAATCGATGATCCCCATCCAAGCCACAAGCTTGTGGGCTTCTTAATAAAATGTAATGAGTGGGTTGCTACCTGTATGTGATTAGAGGGGACTATGGGCGGGGGCTAGCTAGGGAAGGGAAATGCAAACGAAAACAACTAAATAGAGGGATAGAGCAAGGGGCTGAGGAAGGAAATTTTTCACAGAACACGGCAGCAAACCCGAGACACTTTGTTTTCTTAAAAGCATAAATTCTATGGAATTCCACCATCATTCGCCAAAGATCTTGGCCAAAATTGTGGGAATGATGACTTCCAAAAATTTGGTTTCCTTCCAATACCACCGCTTGGGGGGTTTCCTGGGGGAGACCTCGGTTGTTTCACTTCTTTGTCCGAAATAGCGCCGCAACGACTTGCATCCCACCACCATGATGTTTTCTTGTGTTGAAGCCTTCAAGGCCAGCTTGGTCATGCTTTTTCTCTTGGCAGCAGCAACGGCACAAGACAACACGACCATGGTCGATCCGGGTGAAGTCATGAACATTACTCCAGGTGAAATCATGACTCTGCCTCCTGAAACTGTACCAGCCGGGGGAAATCCACAGGTGACCCCAGATCCAGAAAGCCAAGAGGGAACCCAGGGTCCGACTACCCAAGTTTTGACTCAAGTTTTAGGACAGACGTTTGCTCCCGCACCCACGCCGATTCCAGCGGCAGCTGTTGAGACCGACGAGTCTCCAACAAGCGCCCCTGGCAGTGGGGCAACAGACATTTTGGCTTCTACATTCAAGGTGCAAATAGCTGCTGTGGTTGGTTTGGCAGGTGTGGTGATGGCAATGTTGTAGGCAAATCTACTATATCCGAGACGAAAGAGAAAGTATTTGAAACAATCCATCAATTTGCATTATTGCTGTGCTAAGAGAGAGGAGGGACTACGGTAGCTGGATTCTCTGTGAAGGATCTTTGCAATTCACATGACAGGAGGGCTGACACACAAAGAAAGGAAGGTTTGTTTGCTTGGAAAATTGTTAGACAGAGAAAGATGGAAACACCGGGAGGCCGGGCAGCAAGAGGAAAGTAGTTGCGGCTGTTGGCCTTCGTTGTTCCACATCGATGATAGATACTTTGTGTACGGTACTAGTTTCTTCCAGAGGAAGTTTTTGCGTCGCCAATAGTGGCACACAATGCTAGATGTTTCAACTGCTGTCACCGTGGGGTACCTAGGCGCACTATCAGTAGCTACGGGGGTGGCGGCACCCCCACTGGTTCCAGTGCTGGAAGCAACTGCTGCTGCCTCAAATCAGACCATGCCAACATCAAGTTGCGCATGCAAAACCTAGCTATAATAAAGGCTAGGGGTTTCGTAAAGCTTTGTTGTCAATTACAACACCGCTAACTGGGAGTGCGAATCCCACCGGTAGCCATTCCATATAGCTTTTCAAATATGTTGGCTCCATTGTCGCGTAGACCCGAATGTTGATACTCATTGCTAACCCATAGCTTGCACTTCTCCAGGGGGCCACCTCGTTTTGCCACTTTCATTGCCGCATCAAAATCGACGTACATGTCTTCATGATAGACTGCAGCAGCCGCTTTGCAACTCCCATCGCTCAGAACCTTGCGCATGTGTTCTCCATCATACAAAGGGCCCCAATCGGTTTTACTGGCCAGATTGTTGGCTACTTTGGTCAGACCCACCCCGGACAGCTCCGCAAAGTCCTCCGGCATAAACGGGAACACGTGCTCTCCAAAGAAGAGCGTGGGTTGCGAATCATCGTCCACTTGGGAACTAGTGTATTGGTAATCGAATTCCTTGTTACTGGCAGCAAGGGCCTCGTAAGCCCTGTGAGCAGCCCAGTTCGTGGGGGAGTTCCTGTCCGATCCATCTCCATAAATGCTCTCATGTAACCAAAAGTAGATTGGGTGGTCATCAAAGCTCTGTGCCGAATCCATGTACTTTAGAAATGCCCTTGTAAACACGACAGTATCATCCGACAGTGTGGCTGTTGCGATCATGGAATGAAATGTAGCAAAAGCTGAAGGTGATCCACCTAGGGCAATTCCCAGCATTAAGAAACGCCTTGCTGTCAAGGTCCCCCCAGAAGGCAGTTTCATCGGTTGCTTCAACAAGGACTGCACAATTTGCTTGACCCGACGAATATCTCCAGGGTACATTTCGTAGTATCTCAGGTTTCGCTTTTGTAAAAAGTTTCAAAATAAGTAGTTGTTGGCAAAATAAGAGATCATTCATTCATTTCAAAGCAACCAAAGAGCATGAAACGAGGAGAAAAGAAGGAAAACTCACCTCTTGGCAGGTCTTCCAAAGCGATGTGTAGGCATCAAAGGCAGGGGTCAACATGGGCGCAATTCCTCCCGTGAGCAAACAAATTCGGGGTGGATGCTCAATGGTGGAAAGGTAGGTCATGGTACAGAACCCTCCAAACGATTGTCCCATGGAGAGACCCCAGGGTCGTGGTTCCTTTCAAGAAACAAGAACAACAACAAAAAGAAACAAGAAGAATGAGGCACGTGAATACATCCATCACTGTGCGATGGCTTGATTTGATGATTGTGTGCTCACCGTCACTGGTTCGTCCGCTGGCATCATGAGTGCCTCCTTGATGTCTTCGGCATCCTTTACAATATTATCCGCTCGGAACTTGGACATGTAATCGGTGACTTCCTTGGCGGCCTGTTCTACTTTGGCAGTCACTTCTTCCGATGGCTCTCCCTCCTTTGCTTCGTCCAACAGAAACAAGTCTGGGAATTGCAATTCCAATGTTTGCTTGGTCAGAGGTGTCGATCGTCCGGTCCCCCGTTGATCCATCAAGACAATGCGATTGTATCCTTGATCCATGGCCGATGCTGCCCACGATGCCTCCTTGGAGAATCCTAGTGACACCATGGGTGTGGGCGATCCAAAGCCCGGTCCACCTTGCAAATAGACTGCCATTTCATTGGCATCCTCGAGTTTACTCTTGAGGACATAGTCTTTGGCACGCTGCGAGGGTGTCAACGACGACGATTGCAATAATTCTTCCAACCAATCAGCATTGTCTTTGGTGACCTTTTCGACAATGGTAAAGTACACATCCAGTCGTCGACGCTGTTGTTGTTGTTGTTGTGAACGATCGAGTGGGACCGAGATGACGTGTTCCGTGACAGCAAAGCAACGGTTGTCTCCACACGCATGAAATGCCGGTGGAGTAAGGATGCGATGATTGACTTGTTGTTCCTTCATGGCTTGCTGAAGACGATGTCGAGCTAAAGATGTTTTCTGTTGTTGCTGTTGATTGATTTGCTTGGCCGTTTCTGTCGGCTCGGAATTGTGAAGCCACCCCGTGCGAGGAGCACCGGTAGGTGACGGAGTTGACACGGGCGATGGCGTATCGCTCTCCCAAAAGGAAGATTTTTCAGTGGGCAAGTTGTGAGTCCAACCCGTACGACCTTGGGGTCCTTTGGCGTCGGGAAGATCTGGTAGAATGTTTTGATTTTCCTCGTCGTTGTCCGTGTCGCCGTTGGGACTCCCCGTACCAAATAGGGAAGTGGAGGCGGCGAAAGGTTGCTGGATCTTGGTACCAGGAATGGACGTTACACTGCTCCTTCCTTGTTTTCCCAAGGACACTAGCAATGGTCCTCTGAGACTGAGTGCCCTGGCCAATACCACTTGATGGATTCGACCACAGGAAAGGAGCATGAACCACACAAACAGAGGTGACGCGGCAATTTGCATGCTTCTTGAATCTTCTGCTTTTTCCGTACCAGTCGCCTTGTCTTGAAATCGATTGCGTTCCTTTCGATGGTATGCTCTGATGTACATGTACCAGGTATACTGGTAGGTACCGATACCGATACTGTTGTTTGCGGTGTTTGAGGCTGTGGAGGGCACAGATCATCATCCTTCCCAAGATCCTAAAGATCCAAATTAGCTTAAGCCATCCAAAGTATCTAGGGGGGGGTTTAGAGTAGGGAAATTATCTACGGAAGCCAGCCGGGGCCAGGCTTAAGCAAAGAACAGTCGAAATTCAGGACTAGGTTCTGTGGGATCAGGGGCAAGAAATGGAGGACCATTACGGGGGGCAAAGGGTTTGGCTTTGCGGGACCCACGGAGACATAAATGGGTAGCTTTCACAAGGGCAATTGAGATACAGGTCTGCATGAAGAACATCATTTGAGAGTAGGAAAATTGAGTTTTGGAGGCAGTAGCAGAAGCAAGGCGTTGTAAGAGAGCCATCCAAAGTTGTTGACGCGTTCAGAGCCTCCTGTCGAAGGGACCCCTGATACCAGGTACATCGTACCAGTACCAGTACCATAATGTATTGTAGGTGTTGCTTCCGCTGGCTAGATCTTTGGCAGAAGCAGAGTATTTGATGATGTACCAGTATTCTTAGGGTATTATGAGGCAAATTGTTATGGCTTTCGATTAAGACAAAAGGTGGCGCCAAGGACCCGGGAACGCACAGCCATAAAATCCAGTTAGTCGCTCGAAACGCCCAATTCGCTCACTCGAGTGAATCTACGTCTACCCCAATGGGGTCTTCAGTAGCGCCAACAACGTCATTGCCACCGTCTTCTCCCTCGTCCTCCTCGTCCTTATCTACAGCAAAGTCCTCCTGCTTCCACTTCGGAGCATGAAAATAGTCAACAATCAAATCAATGACTGCTTCTGGCATTTGGGAAATGAAACAGAGGTCACCGGCTTGGGGCTTGCGTACAGCCACTTCCAGCACCCGCAGACATTCCCATGGGGCCGGACGAGCTGGGGTCAACTTTCGAACCACCTCAATCTTTTCGGGGACATCATAGTCAGGTGCCGCACAAACGAGAATCTCCTCGAGATCGGGACACTGTTCTTGAATGCGTTGAAGTAGATTTCGGAACTGGCGCCGCCTTGGTGGTGGTGGATTGGCGGGTTGAACAGACCATCGATCGACATAATCACCAAGCCAAGCACGATGCACCTCGCCACCGCAAAACACGAGGAGGGTCTTCAGGTTGGGAACAATCCATTTGACGTCAGCGGGAGTACCCATGTCTTCATAGTACCCCAACACCTGCAAGGATGGGAAGTCCATTGTGGCACCGCGATCTCCACGATAATAATGTGGACGCACCATGCGACCCCCTTTGTGATCCTCTGGCAAGTAAATGAACCGTTGCAAGTGCTCGCGACGCGATTGGACCAGCTTGGAAGCAGAATGTTCTCCACCATTCCATAAATTGCCACCCCAGATGGTTACATCAGTGGCCGTGGATGATTCGAAACCACCGTTGTTAGGCTTGTGTACCACCAGTTTCATTGTTTGGTTGTCGTTTTTGTTGTCCATTGTGAAGTTGTTGTGGACGGTCGGAGTCACTTGGAAAGCGATTGAGACGTTGATTCAGTCGTGCATTTTATTGGCCATTGGCCGCGCTTGGGTGGCACTCCAGACTCGACTCCAGGTAGAGAGCGATGGACGAGATTGAATCATTCATCCATTCCCTGAGCAGAAACGTGATTGCCCGGTGGTACCTGGTACTGGTGTTCGTGGAGAATAGAAGGGCAGGACTATGGGGACGAAGTCAGCGTCTAGACTATTTCCCCAACCCCTCGTATGGCGCAAAAAAGAATGTTGCAACTTCTAATACTAGGAAGTACCGGTACTAGTTCTAATCTCTATTTTAAATTTCTAAAGGGTGGATCATGTCATGGAAAGTGGGGCAAGGCCTATGGCACACCTACTTTCAGGCAACAAGAGAAGCAGGTTTCATGTATGTTTCTGATCAGAAGTAAGCAGGCATGAAATCGACGTGAGGGGAGGTTGCTTCGGCAGTTAGGGCTCTACTGGAGGTCCCGAGAAACCTCCATTTGCTCCTGGCATGAGAGGGTGTGTCCCTAGCTGAGGACGAGGCTTTCTTCGGAACGCTAGCTTCCGATGAGGTTGAAGACGCCGTCTCTCGACCTGGATCAATGGCAGCTGTGGGTGAAGCACATGTCATATCCATGTGAGGATCATTCATCTTCTTCTCCATCGATCCATTGAGGAAAATATTGTTTCTGTGGGTAGTTTGGATTGTTGACATCTTTGCTTTGGGCCTTATTTTAGTGCGGGCGGAGTTGTGGGTGAGTTTGTGGGCTGGGATACAACTTTGGCGACTTTGACGTACGGACGGTAGCAGAACGAGCTTGCCTGACTGGCCCCTGCAAAACTGCTCAGAGACAACATTCGGTCACGTTTGCTGGACCTGTGCATGATATGAAGACTGTCCCGGCTACTAGCTAGTTTGTTTCTACTGGTGTTGCCACTGTGGTAGTACGCAGGGGAGTTGTATGCACTACATGTAACAGAAAGCAAGTAAGCTAGAGTGTTATTCGATGTTGACACTGTATAGTGTTGCACTTGGCTAGACTAGGAATCATGCAAGGCAACCTGAAACTGCATGCTGCCCATTCTTTGCAGAATCATACATAAATGTTGCACCCAGCCTCTCGAGGTGCTGCAGTCTTTGAGAAAGATGTCCCGGCAGGAGCGAAGGAGGAGGACTCGGCACTCGTTATGATCAGCCACTTCAGGCTGAAGCGTACCGTATGGTACAAATCCCAGGGGTGATCGGCCGTTTTCTACCTGCCAACCATTCCCAATGAATGGCGCTGATCACAAGTTCATCTTTATCATCTCTCCACACACAGAGCGACCCAGCCGAGAGGTGAGATACTGGATGAAATGGATCATATATCCCTAACTCTAGTACCGTTGTAGCTAAACGAGCATGTTGAAAAGGTGTGAACT